CTGCACAACTGGCTTGCTGAGTAACCATGAGCGAGCCCATGACCTCCTGGTACCTCAGTTTTCCCACAGATAAAATGGGAGCAATCACACTGTCTTCCTTTGTAAAGCACTGGGAGAGCTATGAATAAAATAAGCCTTATCAGATGTCATTATTAATTAATTATTACTTAATCTTTGGGTTCATTTGTATAATGTGGAAGCGCTTTCTTCATAGGAGCAGATGTTCTTCTCTTTGCATCAAGGCTCACCAAGTACTCTGCTAGCAGGTCCTCTAGCGGAATATATATTGTGAAAAAACAGCAAAATCTGGAGCTTACAAAGAAAGATTTCTCTGTCCCCATCTGCTTGTCCACTGACTGGGGACTGCAGCCCCAGTAGGAGAACTGGAGGTACTTGTACCTCTTGAAACCCAACCAGAAGCTTCACTGAGATACCTTAGTCCTTTCTGGTTTCCCCATAAACTATATTATTAACCCAAGGTCAGTTCAGAGCATTGAAGCTCCAAGCCTGTTTTGGATGAAAACCCAAAGAAAACCACGCTATCTCCTGGTTGTGACAGCTTTTCTTCTTTCTGCTGGTCTCACCCATGCACTGTGGTGGTGCTTGGTCACACCTGATGAGGCATCAGTGAACACAGGTGGCATCTGCCTTTAAGATTTAAGCTCCAGAGGAGGGGCTGTGCATGCTCTGTAGCAGCCCCAGGCCTTGCCTGTCTCAGGAGCTCCTGCCTGTTCCCCTGCAGTAAGTCAGGCTTGAGGGTCTGGGTTTAGTCCTTGTTCAGAAAGGTTGTTTGCAGTTAAAAGTCACTTTTTGGGGTGAGAAGTGGTTGCTGTGTTGCAAGAGTTGAGGTTTCATAGTTTTCCATGGTTTTCTGGGGTGGAAAGTGGTTTGTTTGGGGGGTTTTGTTTGTTTGGTTTGGGTTGGTTTTTAGGTTGCTTTTCCTTAATGTATTTCATATGAAGGTAGGAAGGGGGAAAATGTGTTGAAGAGTGGAAAGCATGTGCTTAGAGGGAAGCAGAAATGTCTTGTTTTCTCTCTGGTTTGCCACCAGTTTATGTTGTGCTGGGACAAGCAGCCAGGGTTCGTTTTCAAACCCTCGGCTGCAGGGACAGGCAATAGCAGTGCAGATGGGCTAAGGCTCGTGCAAGGCAAGTGCTGTGCTTGCCAGGGCTTTTTCACTTGATGAAATGGGGTTTTTGGGTGAAGTTTGCCATTCCTAGGTCTCTGGGAGACTTTGACATTGAGTACTGTGGGTGTACAGGGGCATTGGGCTTGTTGCTGTAACTTGCAGAGCTCTCCCTCATCAGTGGGGTGGCAAATTGCATCAGCTGGGATGTGACCCTGCTTGGATGGGATGGGACAGGGCATTTTTGGGGAAGCAATCGGGAGGCAGCAGCACAATCAGAGGCTTCACAGGATGAATCTGAAAAAGTGCTTTCACCTGGACCATGGGCTGCTCTTGCTTTAGCAAAATAAATGGGATGGGGCAAAGCTGGTTCTCAGTGTGGTGCTGGCTGAAACCTGTGCTGGGATTCGGTGGTGCAGGAAACCCTGTGCTCTTGGTGAGGTGTTGCTTCTCAGCAGATTTAACTTGATATGTCTGTTAACTAATGATGTATTTCTTTAAAGGAGGGGGCTTGTTTGTGCAATGTCCTATTCAGTTTGCAGTTTGATGGGGGCTGTAAATCCCTCTTGTATCAACCTGGTGTGGTTGGTGCTTGTGGCAACTATTTCAGCAGGTAGTGCATGGAATTAAGCTTATCACTTGTGAACTTAAGGCAGAGGGCGAGCTAGACCAGATTTGCTGCCATGCTTTGTCCTGTCATAGTGGTTTGGTATAACAGGCTGTGTTTGGTCGTGTTATCTCCTATGATTCACTTTGGGATGAGTGGTTGTGGGTAAAAGCGATGGTTTTTTAAAATATCTGTTCAAATAGCTCCTACCAGCTGCTTTGCTTTTATTAACAATGCAAACTCCTGCTATCTTGTGATTAACTTGAGGCACTTGAGGATTATTTTCTGAAGCTAGAGCATTTGCTGCTGTGGGAAAAGACAATTAACTGGAGTAGTGAAGCCTATACATAGGTCTTGCTTAGGCTTTTGTTGTTATTTTCTTGTGGTAAGAGCAAACTTGGGCATTTGGGTATGCTGTTTAGTAGGCAGAGGCTGCTCCTCTGCTTGTTTAAGGTTTAGATTTTATTAAGATGATATGGAAGGAGATGGTTTATCTTGCATGCAGCTTTGGGCTGACCCGAAGCTGTTGGTTTTTTGCGGCTTGAGAGCTCTTGCCCACCTGAGAGCAGGATGCACCAAACTGAGCAAAATGCCATGTGCATTACCTCTGTGCTGCTGTAGCCTTCTCACAGGTGCCTGGCCAAGGCTGAGCACCTAATCCTGCAGCATCCTTTGGAAATAGAGCTCTGCAGGTAGTCAAGGTGTTGCAGGGAGTGTTGAAGGAGTGTCTCCCATTTTGCTCCTGTGAAAGCATTAACCAGGGAGCTTCTTTGGCTTGGTACAGGAACACGTGCGGTTTTGGCTATCGGGTAAAATCTGGTAATGCGTTTTCTTAGAAACTGTAATCCAGGAGCTAGTTTGGGTACAAGGATAAAGATGACACAGGTGGAAAATGCCTCTGGAGAAATTTGGAATTGTGTTTAGGGGATGCGTGGGTTTTGTCCTTCACTAATGTGACTCTTTCCATCAACTCTGTTGGCTTCAGAGATGTAGAACAGCAAACCTGGTTTTATCAGGTTTTTTTTTATCAGCTTCTGCTTGGTTGGGCCAGGTTTATGAGAAGCAAATCCTGCTTTGCTGCTGAATGGCACCACCAGGCTGAACTGGACGCTTTGCCCTCCTGAGACCCAGGGGTCTGTGTGGCTGTGAACCAAAGCTGGGGCACATCATGGCATGCAGGAACCTCATTGCAATGAGCTTTTTTGAAGGAAAGGAGGTATCTGAGGAAAGTCTGTTTTGTATTAGCTCTTTTTGGTGAAGTTCGTTCCTGCATAAACAGTAATGAGCTGGTGTGCATGGTGGTTGTTGTAACCCTTGCACTGAATGCCTAAAAAGTGGTTTTTAACTAAGGGCAGTTGTTGTAGGTGGCAAATAACTTTAAAGTGGGTGCTTTGGTGGTCTGGGAGAACCCATTGTGGCGTTTCTCTGCCTGTTTGGGGGTTCAGGACTGGGTGCAGGGTATCAACCCCTGGGGTCTGTGGGTTTAGGGGTAGAGTGGGTTGGAAAGCACATGCTCCCCATTGCTCACCTCCAGATCTCGTGGTAGCACTGGTTCTCTGTTTATAGAGCAGGTTTAAGGCCAGATCTGCTCTTCTGGGTTTCAGTGCAGTGCTCTTGAAAGTGCTTTACCAGACTGAAAGCTCGAAAAGAGTAATTTCGGGTGCTCTGTGGGATAACTGTTGCTCTCAGAGGACTCATGGTGACTTCTTCGCATGCAGTGTGAGTGCGTGCTCGCATCTGTGAGATGGAGCTATCAGCTGTGACACTTCTGAATTTTATTTTTGTCCCTGGCTGTTGTGAACTTTTAAAGAACGTGGGGGATTTTTGTTAATCACAAAAAGGATGAGCTACTGCAGTGGTGCTTTCACCTATTTTGAGGCATGCTCAGCTCTGGGGGCTGAAACCACTCTGATTCCCATTAGTTTAGGAAAACTGTCAGCTTTTTGCTGCCCGCAGAACTGCACGTTCTTTGGAGAGGTGAGGAAAGCCCTGCTCTCTGCAGGCCTGAGTCATCCTCCAAACACAAGAGGCCACAGAAATTCGGTAAAGAGAGCCAGGTCCCTCTCTGACAGCAGCCAGAAATAGATGCTTCAGGAAAAGCTAGTCATAAAAAACAATTATAGTGTAGTCCTCCCTCTGAAACAGTATTTCTTAATTTTATGGCTTAATAAATTAGGATCTTCCATGCAATTTGTTTAGACTGTTGTGTTAAACAGCATCAAAATGTGCCAAACCAGATGTTGGTCTAATTCTTCTGGGGATCCATTTATAAGCATGGCTCTTGCCACAGCCATTCACTTAAATTGTGTCGAAACAACTCTTATATTAAAATTTTGTATCCTTGTATCAGAACAGAGAGCCACCTGCCTCGTCCTCCAATTAACTTGAACCAAGAGCTTTTTTGCCAACTGCAAATATACTCCAGGAATTCCTCCCGCCCCCCCTTACATCCCTGCAGCCGTTGAGTATTTTGACACGGGCGTAAAAGCTGCTGTGTTTGAATTTAGAAATTGGGCAGTGGGATGAGAATGTGCAGCTGTGGAAGGGCGCGAGTGCTCCGGCCTCATCACTGCTCCTCTTGGGCCCACCTATTTCTGTGAGGCTTGGGGGAGCTTAAGGGGATAAAAATGGCCAAGGTAATTAGCGGATCTGGCAGAAATCAGTTGGTCAGGGTCAGAAATTATTGGAGGCGAGAAGGTGGTAGACAAGCAGGCATAATCTGGTGTCATGGAACTTATTTCCATAGAAAATCAAGCAGAAAGAAGATTTTTTTAAAATTTTTTTTAAAAAAAAATACTTATTTTAATCCAAGCCCTTAGTAGCAGTGGTTGAGTGTAGAAGTCACCTAAATTTTCCAAGGGCATCCGACCTAGGGAGGTAGCCAGCCAGAGAGAGTGGCATCGCACATCACCTAGGTGTGCTACCTGCTCTAAATGGAAAGTTCATTATTTGGGGGTGAAAGGGAAGGTGTGGGGGGGGTTTCAGTGTGTTTTTGTTTTGTTTTGGATTTTTTTTGCCTCCCAGTGGACTCCACGGGGTATTTTATTGGGAAGGGTGCTGTCTAAATACAGCATCTACAGCAGTGAGGAATGCATGTTGTACAGTTGTGAATGTCCCAGGCATTCAGCGTCTCTCCTTTTTCACACAATAGCATCTATTTATGGGTTTTCATCGAGTTGGGCTCATGTATTCAACATTATCTTTCTCTGTGTGTTTTCTTTTTTCTTTTTTCCTTTTTTCTTTTTTTTTTTGCTTTTGTTTTTTAAGGTTTGTAGAAACTCCGAGCCACTTCTCCTGGAAGGAGAGTTACTACCGGTCGGCCATGTCCCAGAGCTCTCAGCCCAGGGAGTTCCTTAGCCCAGAGGTGCTCCAGCATATCTGGGATTTCCTGGAACAGTAAGTAGCCCTTATGTGAAACCTGTGGAGAAAAAGGCATTTTGGGACAGGAATTGGGTTGGAAGGGATGTGTAAGGATCATCTAGGATGCCGCTGTAATCCCCTTTCCTGATGTCAGAGTGGGAGAGGAGGTGGAGAAGGCTCAGAGTTCACTCTGTCAGGTCCTTGAAGGAGATAAAACCGACTCTGTTCCCATTCCTGACTTGCCATGACTGATGCTGGGGCAGTTACTGCTATAAATCCTCTGTGAATTCTGTCTTTTTGATTTAACTCCTGTGCTAAACCCTCATTTTTCTGGTCAGGCAAGCGAAATGTCGCTCCAGGCCCTGTCCTGTTCAGGGCCTGCTGTCAATGCAGTGGGTGATGAGGTTCACTGGTCATTACTTACTCTGTCCTCAGACTGGTTTGTGGTTGTGCTGAAGTCCTAGGTGACACCCCAGCATGTGGTGGGTGGGAGGAAAACAAAATTTGGCCAACTTTAACTGCGTTAACTCTGTTCTTTTCAGGCCAATATGCTCAGTTCAGCCGATCGATCTGAACTTCATCGATAGCCCATCTGAAAATGGCCCTACAAATAAAATTGAGATCAGCATGGACTGCGTCCGGGTGCAGGATACGGAGCTGAACGACCCAATGTGGGTGAGTAGTGAGAACTTCCTTAACCTCTGGGGACGGATGAGGAGTTTTTGCAAGAGCTGCTCTTGCTGCGTTGCCCTGAGATCATCTTCCCCCTCATGGTGAAGGAGCTGTGGCCACTGCCTCTGCCCAGGGACGTTTCTTCTTGCTCTGCCTGTTGTGTCCCATCTACAGAAGCTGGTGTTGGGAGCATGGCACTGCCAAGTGGCCATGGTGGTGATGAACAGCAGTCTTTGTGGCCTCAGGGTTAAAATAGTTGGTATTCTGGGCACAGTTTCAGTGTTGCTGACCAAGGGCTGGGGATTGAGGTTGTTCTTCAGTGGTTCTTCCCTTGAAGGTTATTTAGGCATGAAAACTTGGTTTCACACCATGGTGGGTTGTTTTGGGGTTTTTTTCCCTGCTGGCATATCTAGATAGGCGAAGCCAGAGTTTTTTGTAACATGGCTTGGCTGTGGGTGTCTCACCAGTGTGGCTCAAGGCTGGAATGCAGATGAGACACTGGTGGATACTGGTTCATTGCCTTTGGCACAAACTGACCAGCTCTTTCTTAGCAGTAGCTCTGGTGAAGAACCCAGCTGCTATTGCAGGCTGGAGCAGGAGGGATTTCAGAAGCTTGAGCTGTTTGTGTCCTGATTCTGTTCTTCTGGGCTTTGTGTGCTTTGGGCTGAAAACCACATATGACTTGAAATTTTGTTGGTTTCTGTTAATTTTCTTGTTCCTTCATGTTTCCATCCTGAGGATCTGTGTTGGTTATTTCCCTGGCTAATCAACCACTGGTTCTAATGTGTTGGAGTCTACATCCTGGCAGTGTTTGTAACCTAGAGGATGGCATCTGCAAGGAAAGAGCTCGCGGGTTCCCAGTGACCTGTTACCACCTCTCAGGTCTGGCTGCTGGGGATGCTGTGCTGCTTTCCCATTTCCTTGCAGATTTGCAAAGGGTAAAAAGGCCACTATGGGGTTGAGGATGTGCTCAGCTGATGTGGTGAGGCTATTCCATGTGCACAAGGAGAGCTGGCTGATGTCATATCTGGTTATCTTTTGATTCTGCATTCAGGTTGGGCACAGTGGGGTTATGTGGTCTGCAAGCACCTGGATCTGAAAAGGCCACTTCACAGCACTTTTTCCAACACTGTAGCACAGTTCCAGTAAAATGATGTCTCTTCAATAGCTAGTCCAAAAAGATTCTCTGTGTTTAGAGGGGCTCCTACTCTTCACAATAGGTGGTAATGCTCTGTTTGAACTATGCCTGCTTAAAAAAAAAAAAATAAATCTCCAGCAGTTTAAAGGGCATCAGCAGAACCTTTGTTCCTTTCATGCCCAAAGCTGGCCTTGCTGCACTGAGTGCTAGCAAAGCCTCCCCATCTCCAGTTCCTCTGGGTGCGCTGCTCTGTGGCAGCTTTCAGGCTCACTTGGGGCCCTTGTTCAGCATCTCCCTCTCCTGTCTGTGGTGCAGTGAAACATCAGTGGCAAATCCTTCCTCTTGTCCTCTCTGAGCACCGGGGCTGGCAGCTTTTGCTGTGCAATTACTGCTTGCTTCTGATGGGTTTGGTCCCAGCCTTGCAGGAGGCATTTCTGGAGAGGCCGAGCTGCACGGTGACTCCTTTAAGAAGCGTGTTTTACTGATGCAACAAGCCAAAGGGGGAGCAGGGAAATTCCATCCCATCCTCACCCTTGCGGTACTGCTCACAGTACATTAATGTATGTACATTAATAAATGTTCCAGTTTGTCTCCAGTGGAAGACAGCACCTTCGCTCAGTCGAGCGCTGCACAAAAGCCTTTACAAAGCAAAATATGCGTTGCAAACCTGTGCAAACAGCCCGTCTTTTAAAAGGAGGAAAGCTCTTTTTTACTCCCCTTACCGCCACCACCACCTCCCTATAAATTTGCAAACATCCCTGACAGGTGACAACTCCCCCTCGCCGAGCAGTCCCTGTTTGCTTTGCCGTTCCTGGGGCTCGCAGCTTGCCTTGGCAGAGAATGTGTAGCCCGGGGCGAGGTGTTTGCTGTTTGTCGGCTTTAATCTGAAATACCTTACAACCCTCTTCCCCTCCAGCTCCTCTTTTCCCTTTGGATGGCTTCGGGGCAGGAGCTCCCCTTGCACCTGTCTGTGCCGTAACCCCAGACACACGGTGCTGCACGCAGCCGGTCGCGGCGCGGGGTTGCAGAGGGCAGATCAACACGGAGGAATGCGGCAGAAGCGGAGGGGCCCTGGGAGATGCACAGCGAGATCAAGGCAGAGTGCTTTTTATTATTAGATTTGTTTTATGGAGGGGAAAGAAAACCCAACGAAATGAGGCCGACTCTTCTCAAAAATGTGCTGCTGTGGGAGATGTAAATAGGCGCAAAGCAATTAAGAGTGGTTTATTTAAAGCAATCATCCTTACCTGGACTTTAAGGCAACCCCAATCAGCCTTCAAAATAAGCATTGAACTTCCTTGAGACTTACAGCTGGAAAGTGAAACTTTCAGCCTTAAAAAGATGCCTAACCTTGATCCCAAGGTTAAAAAATTCCCTGTGATTTTTCTTTTTAATTATTATTTAATTATTTGGTGGGTACAGTTGCTTGTTTACAGCAGGGCTGACAGTGGCGATGGAGCTGCAGTGTTAAGGGCGGTGCCTGGAGAAACTGTCCCACCTGTGGGAAAATGAGCACAAGTCCTGCCATGCTGGACACCCATCAGTTGTGTTGCTTGCCTTGCATCCCAAATGCAACTGTGTGGGGAGAGAGCTGGAGGAGGGGATGGGGTGACACAGAAACTCATTTGGCTCAGCATGAGACAGAGCCATAGCTCAGGACTTTGACTTTTTTTTTTAAAGAAGAAATACTCCTCTCCTCGTGTCCCGTGTCAGGAAGGGTAAGAGAAGCTGGTGATCAGCACTACCTTGGGATGCAAAGGGCTGCAGAGGACAGGAAGGAGGAGGTTTGTGGGTCTGGTGTGATGTTAGGCAGTCAGCAGCCTTCCCCAGCCTTGTGACCAGCTCTTTTGCAATGTCCTGAGTGGCCTGGCTGTGCCCCTTCCTCTCCCATGGCCTTAACCACAGGCGGGCTGGGAAGTCCCAGCAGGGATCTGCCTTTTTGCAGTCAAAGTGAGGGGTTGGTGGTCCCTGCAGAGAACATTCAGTCTTTGCCATGGCCTTGTTGTGGGAAGGAGCTGCAGGTGGACAGGACGGTAAGTTGAATGGTTCTCCTTGTAGCCCATCTGCTATTTGTTAGGCTTTGCCAAAAAAGGTGCTCCCCAGCCCCTTCCTGACCGAGGATGTCACCAGCAATGGTAGGGTCTGTGGGAGGGTGGTGGTCAGCATCCAAGAGGAATGCTGGTCTTAAAGGCTGTACCTTGCGGTGCTGGAAACCAGGTGATCTTATGTAGAGATTGTTTTTGTGACTGTTTAAATGCCCTGGAGCTATGCTATGGGGTGTGTGTCTGGGGGGTGGATCTGGGGACATCTCTCTAGGAACAAGCCTGTGGTGGTGCAATAACCCCTGCATTGTGCTGGTGGTGTGCTGTCAGCCTGCCACACCAGCTGCAGAACTGCTGTCCTTCCCCATCCCTCTGAAGTCCTTTAAACTGCTAAAAGATGCTAGTCTGGACCCAAACAAAGCTGCTTTGGGTGAAGGACCTCAGCTCCTGATAAAACTGTTATTTGAGGGGCCTGTGGAGTCTCCTGGGTCTCCTGCCACCATCCTGGCAGTGTGGCCAGGGCTCTGGGGACCTGGAGGCAGGAGCAGGAGTGCCGCATCCCAAATGATGGAGCAGCTCGTCCCCCTCCCCCTGTACATACCTTCCTTTCATGCCCCTGAGCGAGCGGAGCCGTCCTCCCGCAGCCCCTTGCCGAACCAGTTCAGTGAAATGCCTTTCCCCAGACAGTCGCCTGGTCGGAGTTTTCTTAACCTGGATCTGTCCCTCCCTACAAAAGGGAGAGAGAATTCCTTGCCTTTATTTATCTATTTATTTACTTGTTACTGTCCTTCTTCATCTTCTGCAAATCATGGTGGGGGTTTGCTATGTGTGGCTTGGTTGGGTGCTGCCCTGGGCATAGTGGTGTGGGTGCTTCATGACAGGGCTGCGTCCTTTTTGAGTTTGGGGTGCCCTAAGTATGGTGGCTACAGAAATTTTGGAGGTGCAATGTATGTTTTGTAGCTTGAAAAGTGACAACTTCAGCTCTGTGACTTTGCTGTTCTTTATACACAGAGGTGGAAGAAACACTGGGTTGTAGGATGCAGCCCACGTAGGATGTGGAGGTGTTCAGGCTCTCAGCCCTCGCACCAGTGGCACATCTCAGAGCTGGTATTTGATGCTTCCCTGTGGGAACAAGACACATTTCCCAGGATTAAGCTGCTGTAGGCCCATGGAGGAGCCACCCCAGCCACCTTATGCCACAGCCCAGTGGGCTGGAGAGGAGTGGGGTTGAGGCCCCTGCAAAGCCACGCTGGCCCAAAGTGGCCATGGGAGCTGGTAGATATCTCTCTGCATGCTTTCAGCCTTAGCACTGTGTAAATAAGTTCAGTAATTCATATTTGGTGGCCATGCACTGAATTCCTGGGTCCCCAGGAGCCTATCGCCTGTGCAAGCTGTGGCTGGGGTCAAGCAAGCAAAAATACAGTGGACAGACATGAAAAACCAACCCAGTGTCCAGAAGGACATCTGTTGTGTCCTGTTCAATGCTGCAGTATTAAAGTGCAGGCTTTTAACTTTTAATTGCTCCCTTTAAAGTGTTTTGCTTGGTCAGGGGCTGATGAATTCCCATTTTGTTGGGAAAAGGGTTTTGCAGCTGGAGGATCAGGCTGATTCGATAGGAATATGCACGAAGTGAGTTGTGCGGCTCCGTCTCCGTGCCTGAGCATTCCTGGATTGACTGTAGGAAGGACTTTGTACGGCACAAGGACGTGATCAAAGCTTTTATTACTGTCTGGTTTGTGCTTGAGAGAGTTCGAGCTTTGCCAAGTTTCTCCTCTTTGTGGGTATTTGCTCGCTCCGTAGCTGCGCAGAGAAACTTGAAATTA